AAAAATTATTTGAACTTGACAAATATCCATTGATGGATGCCATAGAAACATGAAATTAATTTAGTTTAGTTACAAATTAATTCCCATTCACTTCCATTTGATTTCTTCTGAGCAAGATTCCAAAAATTAGTTTTAATGTAATTCTCAATTATCTTATGACCAACAGTGTACAGAAAAGACTTCAAATTAGTGTTGTTGCCATTTGAGTAAAAATAAAATATACAATTGGCCTGATATTTACTCAGGCTTATCAGTTGATAAATGTAACCATTTTTAGGCCCTGTTTACAAGCAGGTAGGGTAACCCTAGTGCTAGGGTTACCCTAACGCTCCCACATTTCTTCCTTTTTTCATTGACGTGTTTACAAGGCAGCTAGGGCTACCCTAGCTGCCTTGTAAAGGCTCTGCTGGGGATAACTCGCCTACCCAGGACAACTTTTTACTTGTTTCCAGACACTTTGAACATTGATAACAATGCGTGCGGTTACCAAGCATAGGTAAGTTGTCCCGGGTGGTAGGATAACCCTACCTGTGAAATTTTGCTTGTAAACCCGGGCTATCTTTGACCCGCCTGCTAGGGTAACCCTAGCACAAGGGTTACCCTCCTTGCTTGTAAACAGGACCTTAAAGACCACCTCAAAATAAAAATGAACAAATATTACAGGCTATTAGCAGTTAGCAAATGTCACAATGCTAAATATCAAACTTTATAGTCAATTCTATGTAAATGTCAATAACAATAATAAAAAAATTTTACTCACATCAGTAAGTATACAACCAACAAAAACATACATATTTCCAGCTGTTGCTTCTCTCAGCTTTTTTCAGTTCTAAAGAAGTGTCAACCAGAAATATGTCCACACTGGTAGGTTATTAATCATCAACATCTTCTTACTCACTTTAGATATGACAATCACTGTTAAAAAGCACAACAATTGCTTTAGGCAAACTAAATAGTCTCAATTTGTCATGTAACAATGTGTTTGCTTCCATAGGATGTGATGTACGTGTTCTAGAAAAGTCACCTGGAGAGTACTATACTAAAGAAGAGATTGAACAGGTAAAATATTCTGATTTCATAAATATCCATTATTTAAATTTCAATATATATATACAAGTCCAATCTGTAATACTTTGCACTTCTCTAAGCAGAGAAGATAACTATCATCTGTAATTGTACTGAACCATTTCATGTCAACAGGGTTCTCAAGAAAGTGGTACTCAAGCATGGATTTGTGGCTAATTTGAGATACATCCCCATTTACTTCACCTTCGTCTTGCTCTTACTCTTTAATTCTTTATCAGTTGTCAAAGTCCTTTTAAAAGCCCTGATAATAAATGGCCATTTTTTGTTTCCAAGTCAAAGCTCAATTATTCATTTCTTGTATTCTATTTTTGTCTACTTCAAAGGGTTTAAAAGAGCACAAGCCATCAGTTCTTTTTATAGTTCACAGTGAGTCTTCTTCAGGGATATGTCAGCCACTGGAGGGTATTGGTGATTTGTGCCACAAGTAAGATAGTCCATCATTTTACTCCCTCCTAAATTCCAAAAAAATTATCTACCAGTATATTAAACAACTCTTACAACAAAGCAACAATTATTATTTTCTTTTAATAAATACACTATTGTGAAAATTCATCTCTGCACACATACAAGTTTGCAGCACACTGATTTTAGTAACTGTATTTTTTAAAATTCTGCTTTGTTTTGAGTCGTAAACTTCATTGATCACTTTCTATCTATTGACCACACATCTCCCTGTTTGTGCGATTATAGACATAACTGCCTGATAATTGTGGACACAGTAGCATCTCTTGGTGGAACACCCTTCTTCACTGATGACTGGGATCTGGACTGTGTTTATACAGGCTCTCAAAAGTGCCTAGGGGCACCTCCAGGAATTTCACCAATCACATTTAGCCCTAGAGCCATGTAAGTGATAATGTCATTTCACTTATTGAATAGACTCCTTTATAAAATTTGATTAGCCAGGGCTCTGCACTAACAGTAACCAACTAGCCACAGACTAGTAGAAATTCAGTTTTGGCTAGTAGTTTTCAATTTCCACTGGCCAGTTTGGCTAGTAAAAATTTTCGTAACTTGTAAGATCTCACTAGCCACTTGGCTAGTAAGTTGAAAAGTTAGTGTTGAGCCCTGCTAGCTACATATCAAGTCTTTTGGTTCTCCAAGCTTGTGAGTTCATGGACCATAAGAAAAAAATTAAGCTCCTAACCTGAATTAATTTAGAGATAAAGATTTATAAATGTAATTTATGCATACTTGCTTTTAAACTGTAGAGGGAAGGGTCCTCTTTGCCAAATCAGTTTTAGTCAAAAGATTAGATGATAGGACATTAAAAGAATGAGCCTTCTCATGGCATCTTCTTCCCATCCATCCTTTGAGCCCATCAGCCATCACACTAGCTCCCAAGTGTGTTGTTCAAACAAGCACTGCAAAGAAACACCCATAGTCACCTCTTAAAGTGTCATTTCAGTCAGTGCACAAATCTGTTTTGTATTGAATTTAAGGGCAAAGGTAAACAGCAGAAAATCTAAGGTACCATCTTTTTATCTGGACATAAATGAACTAGGAAACTACTGGGGTTGCGATAATGGCCCAAGGAGGTAAGACTTTGTTATGTGCACATTCTAAAATTTACTTAACACTGTCTTATTAAACTCACATTTGTATTGACCAGGAACCAATTTAAGCAGAATGAATCAGTAAAACCACATTAACCTTCAAATAGTTTGGAAATCTAACATGAGTTAATACACATGTAAAGCAATTATGTTTTCCCTTTTTATGGCTAAGTTTTAATTCAATCTTCAAGCCTCTTTTGGCTACAATATCCATTCAAAATTATTAATAATTAATAATAAATAATAATTATAAAAAATAATATATAATTTAGCAATAGACATTCCACTGGGTGGCTCTTCTTGTCCACTGTTTCCAAATAGAAATGGAATTTGGAATGTTCGTTTTTTATAATAACAAGTTGCGTGTATTTGTTTAGTATGTAACATCCTGTATGCAGTAACACCCTTCTGGTGCTGCTCACAATGGTATTTCAAACTGCAATTTACACAAAAAACCATTGAATTTCAGTAATGATGATATCCTTCAGAAAAAAAAGGCATCCAAATGTTTAACTTGTGCCGTTTCTTTTTAGATATCACCACACTGCAGCTATAAATTTGGTTTATGCATTAAGAGAAAGCTTGGCTTTGCTTGCAGAGGAGGTATGCCTTTAAGACTATTACTGATAGAAGAACAGTAGTCTGAGTGGCCTTTGGTCTGTACGAAAGGATGAAAGGATAGGAGTAGAGTGGGGTGGGGGGCTTATATTCTCCCAGCACAGCCCTAGCACTAAATCAATGAGATACATACATGTATCATGAACCCATGCTGTTCCAAAAGGCATACAAATTCTTCCATGTCTCTGCAACATGTTCAAATTAAGCTTATTCATGATGCCGAAAAAACAAGAAGGAAACAATATTTTAACACTAACTTTCTTTCCTTTATCAGGGACTCGAAAATTCGTGGAAACGGCATAATGATACAATTGAACACCTCTGGGCTGGAATCGAAAAGATGGGTTTAGAGATGTTTGTCAAAGACAAGGTGAATTTTTTGTTTAATTATTCATGTACCAAAATGCATGTATCTCAGCATAATTTCTTCAGGTACTGTATTTTTTATTGTTCAGGATTATGTTTAATAAGTTTTATGCAAAGATCAATATTGATAGTATTTTTTTCATTTTATCACAAAATTTATACGACAATCGACACGACTTTTTTAAAAAGTTTATTTGTATTACATCAATTTTGGTGTCCTTATAGGTCCATCGCCTTCCTACAGTGACGAGTGTAAAAGTCCCTGAAGGATTTCCAGATTGGAAAGCTGTTCCAGAATATCTCATGAAAAAGTATGCAAAATATAAAAACCAAAGATTGTAGATTTAAAAGTGAACTCAGTGTTTGATATTATGTGTTCTCCTAAGTGTTCTTAACAGTAATGGCATGCTTACCGGTTAATCAATGCATGCCTAGCTTCTTCCGTTTCCGTATTCTTGTCGGAAATGCGGTGAGAATCTTTGTATTCATGAGGGAATAACATGCCCCCCAAAACTCCGTTCTTTTCGAAGTTCTGTTTTTTTCCACAACAGCCATCTTTGACTCGCATAGAGAACAACCGCTGACCGATTTTCTAATTTTTGTCAACGCGTAAAACAGAGAGAGAGAGAAATTTCTCCGAGTTGCTTTCTGACCTGCAATGCATTTAGTCAAGCATTGATAATATATTTCTTTCCTCCTCTCCCTTAGGTACAAGCTAGAAATTGTTGGTGGTATGGGTCCAACAGTCGGAAAGGTTAGTTGTCCGAACAGCAATTTCATTTTTCAATCGGTTTTAATGGATCAGTGTGGCTAAAGCATTCCTTTCAAATGTGCTACTTTTACTTCCAATTGCTTCAGAAATCGGGCGTGCATGGCAAGTTAAGGCTTTGTAAATAACCCTCAATGAGAAAAGGAAGGGAAATAGAATGTTGCTCTTGGTTTTTAATGAAATCGACTTGGTAAAAGTTGCGCTAAAAAGGTATGGGTTTCACAAATATGGTTGATCCTCGGTAAGTTGACGTTTGCTATGCAGGCTACTTTAAACTTTACGCCCTGTGTACTCCTTAGCTTCGGAACGCCTCGACGGATCTTGCATTTATCGGCTTTATGAACTGTATGTGCTTAGAGAGGGGTCAGACAGGTGAGGGATGAAGGTCCTTCGTTCAGAATTCTTCTTTGTCAGGTAATAGTTGTAATCTATGATGATAGAGAAACTAAGAACGCAGCAAAAAAGTCAAGTATTACTTCAGTTTGGGATCGATGAAAGCCTACCTTCACCTCTGATCGAGGTATTTTTAGTTTCTCATTTTTCTCTGTTTCTATTCCTGAAGGTGTGGCGTGTAGGATTCATGGGACATAACTCGTACAAGGAGAATGTCGACCAGTTTTTACGGTTATTTAAAGAGGCAATAGAATCAGTGAAGAACAGTTCATGAAAACCAGGTGCTGGAAAATGAACATAGCGAGAAAGCAGCTGGCTCAAACTTCCGTCGGATTCGGAATAGAACTATAAATAACAATCAAGGGATGAAGCTGAGATGAGGAAAGATATGTTAAAATGATCAGTAAAAGTGTAGAACTGGAAAAAATTTAATGATCAAATTAGAGATTGCACTACATCTTCGGAATGAATGATACTTCACAAGTTTAGTTTTAGAAAAATCGTACGATGTGATATTTTCCAGTCTCTTGTGTTTAAGTATCATATGCGACTGAACGTAAAGTATTTCGGGAAAGTTAATGTAATTGTGTAAGTATTTGTGAGTGTAAATGTATATTTAAATGTATTTTAAACGTAATATAAAGCCCACTAATATATATCAATGATTAATATATATCAATGATTGATATAAATATATATTTATATTAATTAGTGTTTAACAGTAAGAGAGGAAATTTAAGCTAAGAATTTTAATTTTACTTGGGTAATGATAATATGTACATATATTTTTGCTTTTTTGTCCAGATAAGACTGGGATTTAATTACACCCTAGAACTCCCCAACGCCCTTGTATTAAATATTATTTCGCAAAGATTTAATAGAATAAATTTTTAGTAGTTCTTCTCATGCCGCAAACCTCTCCCCGACTCGTATCAGATATCAATATTCCCGCGGGCGGAGAACACGCGTACAGCAGCGCTTATGTGAGGGCTTGCTTTCAGGCTACATTCTTTGTGAGGACCAAGCCAAGGAAATTAGTGTTTTGCCGTTTTAACCATGCCTTTTTATGTACAAGTGAAGCTCGCTATATTGAAAGCTAAGTTATTAGTATATAATAATTTGGATATATCAACAAAGTTGAAATGGTAAATTGGCCACCGTAACGATTACAAAAGCTGACGGACGTTCCGAGCGTTAGCCCTTCGTCGGAGCGAATAGAGGAATTGTGGGTTGTGTGTGCTTTTAAAGGCAGAAAAGTTATCAGTATATACATGAATCTAGATTGCGAAATGTAAAACTTCAAGCAGTATTCACTCTGACTTGACATACGCCAGGTGGGGATCTTTTGTACTGCTCTGTTCGGGGAGTTTTAATAAAGGTTTTACTGACATTTGGAATGTCATGTATTGACAGTCTTTGCGATTATAACGTGTCATGATGGACATAATTAACTGTCTCTGTTAGAGCTGTATTCCCCATCTCCTGATTCATTGAGAAACATTTCATGATCTTCTTTCTCCACGTTCATCTTTGTTGTTATTATTATCATTATTATTATTATAATTATCATCATTATATTGCTATTTTTCTGGCATTATTATTATTATTATTACTACTACTTTGTTTTTGCATCAATCCTAATCAATATAATTGTTTTGACTTTCACGGAGCCCTTAAATTGGGTTTAACACTTTTATTCATCTAGGATTTCTGTTTTTTTTGTTTTGTTTTTGTTTTTTTCACCAGGTTTTGTTAACCAAGAATTTAAGTGTTTCAACTTGAGTTGTGGGATTTTTTCGTATTGGCTTTTTCAGTTTGTTTTACAAGAGAAAACTAAGATTAAGTACTGCAGCTGGAGTTAGTAAATTTATTGTTTCTTCGCTCTGATAACTAGTCCTGCGTATTCAGAACTAAACGACTGGATGACTGAGGAAAATGTTGCGAATATTCTCGCATATTCTAGTTTATACCCGATAACATACGTTAAAAGTGAGATATCTCAGTTATCAACCCTAATTGCTCTTGTCAAATGGTGAAGGAAGAAGACCAAGATTGACATAGATCCAGCCCTGTGGTCACCGACATGCTTTTAAGCAATCAATTTTTATTTGAATTGTTGGATGAGATGCTATCAAACCTTTCAAAATGGAATTTTGATTGAGCTTCTGTGTTTTACTCGTTTTAAAATTAAAACCAACTGCGAATTAAAAATTTATTTTAAAAAAAAACACGACAAAATAAAATAAATTTAAAAAGAGGAAGAGTATAGGAAAAGCGTCAGGATGTCGGGGGGTGGTGAGGACTGGGAAAAGTTGAAAGGATTCTTTGTACCGTCATTGTTTCACTAACAATCAACACTATCTCTGTGGTTTGCTGGTTTGATTAGGAATACTGTGAAGCCAATTTTAACCCGGTAATTTATGAATAACTGCGTAAAGCTTCGCTGTTGCGAAATCAAGAAAAATCGTTTACAGCGGTTCGCATAAGGGAAGTTTTAAAGATGGCCACAGACGAGGACTCTCATCAAGAGAAACAAAATTGTGAAACACCGATGCTTGAAACTTGTTCAGCCGCGAGCGAAGACAGGGAGAAAAAAATGGAGTTTTCACAGACAGATGTTAACGGTGAAAAATCGAGCTATCAGATCAATACCGAACGCCAAAAAAGACGACTATTTAAAGGAAGTCTGAAGCTTTCTAAACAAAGGTGGATGAGCTTGACCCACGACACACCAACAAAGAAAAACAGAGTTCTTAAATCCGAGAGATCGATGGATGACGCGGAGATGTTGCAAGGAAGCCAACAAAGCGATTTGCCTTGTCGTCAACGTTCATCATCTCAGGAGAAGAACGATAGAACAGAACTTGACCGTGGAAAGAGTTTGGATAGCGTTCCAGAAGGTTATCGCAATTCTTTTAGTGATGTTCTATCTAGAAGAGGAAGTATTTGTGAGGAGATGGAAAAGGAGATCGTCCAGGGTGGAATTAGTTTGCACAAGAGGCGTAAGGCACTAGTGATTGAACAAACCCTCAAGGATCGATTTCTCATGTGATATTAAACTTGACTGCGTCAAGATCGCGCAGAAAAGCTATAGATACAGTCTGCATTTTTTTTCTTTTTTCAATCTCTTTTAATCATTTTTCTTTCTTTGGCATGAACAAGAGTTCGAGAAGCAAAGGGTGCTCCTACTTGCTTCGTAAATACATCCCAAAAAATGCATTGTATTCACTTTAAGGTTTTGAATAAGTCGCGATAATCTGCTCTCATGTCGTCACATTTTATTCCAATATATATTTTTAGAACTTTTAATGGGAATCTCCAATGGGGTTCCTTAACCTACAGACATTATTGGCTACTTGCGAAGGGGAAGTGACAAGGCGACAATCTTTCACTGTGTGATCAATTTTTGACGTTTCTAATCTGATAACGGTGTCACGGAGGAGTGCAATAAACGAGACAGTTAATATCGATAATCTTCACCATTTTTGCTTCCCACCTACCTCAAAACACAGCCGGCTAAGGGATTTATTGATCAAACAAATCGAACGGCCAGGCATCTGCAGCGAGAAAGGAAGGCCTAATGTTGCAGTCACAAGCAACACTATGTCCTTCACGGTAAAAATGAATTTTTTAAGAACGTATCATACGTTCTTAAAAAATTCATTTTTACCGTGAAGGACATAGTGTTGCTTGTGACTGCAACATTAGGCCTTCCTTTCTCGCTGCAGATGCCTGGCCGTTCGATTTGTTTGATCAATAAATCCCTTAGCCGGCTGTGTTTTGAGGTAGGTGGGAAGCAAAAATGGTGAAGATTATCGATATTAACTGTAAGTTACAGAGCCTGTGAAGCCGGCCAAGGTATTCTTTAATTGAAATACTCTTCGGTGATTATTACTATTTTTGGGCCTTAAGCTGAGGCAATGCATTTGTTTAATCTAAATGATAATAAAGAAAAACAAATTAAAAGTCCTTCCGCCAGAGTTTGTAATGGTACGTCCAATTCAAAGTATAATAAAAGTAATTAGTCGTAATTCTGAACCTGTGTACGCGTTCTCGAAAGGTTTGAATAAAAATAATAAAAACAACCCTGGACTGACATAAAATGATCCCGGAGACAGGGGATCGATCGACAAATGGGGAAACATTTATCAAACATAATAATCTGATTAATTCCAAATCTTTTCGATTGAGCGTCGTAAAACAAAAGTAAAACAATGACGGCAGCTATAATCAGGGAAAACACCGGTGATTCTTTGTGCGCTTTAACCCGCGAATTTTGATGAGTGAAGGGGAGGTACAGAATCGAACTGAGAACACATACATCTTGTATTTCTCGGCAATTATCACTCAACCAACCCTCGCCCCCACCCCCTCCTCTTCATTTGCGGTTACGTTTCAGTGGTCGTGGAGTCATCTATGCTTTCTTCCCGTTGCAATACCCACACCTCTGATGGGAGTGGGTCTGGAACATCTTCCCCCCTTCCCGCGACCGACCATCCCACCGTATCTGAACGGTACTTTTCCTCTTCAACTGTATAGGAAAGACATAACTTACGCCTTAATGGTAAAAACACTGTTTTCAAATATATTCCGCCTTAGCTAGATGGAGTCTCGCATAGCTTCCATTCCGCGAAGATTATCCTACGTGTACGCCGTTGTCTGTAAGGTTTAACTATGAAGGCATTCTGTTAACCATCTTATTCGTTGGCATGAAAGAAAAGGGCTAGCCCTAGCCAATCAGAATTCACGAAAGTATCGGACGAAACGGTTAACCGATAAAAAGTCCTTATATACTTTCTTGCAAAAGAGTGAAGTCACAGAACACGATTTGTTTCAGGTTTACAGACCTTCCCTCCCTTCCGTTTTTTCCCGGGGAGAGGGTTGGCTCGGCGAAGATGGGATTTCAAAGGGGCTTCGACTGGACGCAGTAATTCACTAGCAAGGGACCAAATGGACTCAAGTAAAGAGTTTAATGAATGCTTTTACAATTTTCCAAGCTAGTGACTCTCTTCATGAGACAATTGATAAATAGCTATAAAAATTACCATTTTAAACATTTCGATTCTTCCTAGAATATTTTCCCCCGCTTTTACAGCCACACCGGCTGAAATTCTTTGCCTCGCAAATGTCATTTTCAAATCTGAGATTTTGGGCGATTTTTGACAGCTTCCAGCGCCTCTTTGAAAAGTCGCAAGAACTTGTCCACATTTTCAAGGGATGAATTATGTCCCATGAATCCAACACGCCATACCTTGAGAAAATAAAAACAAACAAACAAAAGAAAGGAGTTAGTTTAAAAGTTACCGGGTCGAAATAATTCGTAACACAAGAACACGCATTTAAAAGGCAAATGAAAGGATTTTATTCCTTCAGGCTAGAACAATATAGAAGAAATAGACACGCGCAATGATTTCGCCTATTTCCATTTTACCGAACCTGAGGCGAATAATTGTTTTAGTATAATTTCAAACCCGCGTGGAGCGGTTTATAGAGCTTCATATAAGGAACCGCTCGACCAATCAGATTGCTGGAAACTTTGCTCAGCTCTGAAATTATACTAAAAAGTCGATATTCCACTAACCTTTCCGAGCGTTGGGCCCAGACCACCTACAAGTTCAATCTTGTGTCTGGAGATACAAAAAGAGAGAAATAAATGAATAAATGAAAACACAACAACAATACCAAACAGGAAGAATCGTCTTTTGTCGTATTTCTGCCGCAAGACAAAGGTGGTAATACAAGCCGAGTTATATTACAGTTTCTGCAGCGAGACTACGTGGCTTCCGTGACAGGCGGTAAAACATGNGAATGAACTCGTGTCTTCATGCCGCCACAGAAGCAAAGCCCTCCTACGCAACAACTAAACTGTCAATTTCGCGCTGCATAAATTAGACTAGTTAGATCATGCAAATTATATTGTATATAAGCAATGGTAAAGTTTATTCTCATTAAATCCCCTGATGAGTGGGCGACCACGAAACAGGCTTGTAGGGATGAACTTGTAGTTTACTTGTCTTTTTCCTCCCACAATATATACTTCGCTCTACTTCTATGTATTGAGCACTGTTCTACGAAAATCAAGTCACACTTTATATATATATATATATATATATATATATATATATATATATATATATAAAGTGTGACTTGATTTTCGTAGAACAGTGCTCAATACATAGAAGTAGAGCGAAGTATATATTGTGGGAGGAAAAAGACAAGTAAACTACAAGTTCATCCCTACAAGCCTGTTTCGTGGTCGCCCACTCATCAGGGGATTTAATGAGAATAAACTTTACCATTGCTTATATACAATATAATTTGCATGATCTAACTAGTCTAATTTATGCAGCGCGAAATTGAGTATATATAGATATATATACTAAAACCAATGAAAAACGAAAGTCCTCTTTCTTTGCTCTTGCGCTACACGTTTCACCGCTGTTGCGGCTCTACAGGCATAGCAAAGTGTGTTTATTGACTTATTACGTCACAGATCTTATTGTAATAAAGTACAAAAATAATGGTTATTGTAATTTGAAGCACGCGCGAGCAAATTACTGCAGTCCTACAACACTTTTAACGCTCAAATGATAAGTACTCTAATAAATGTAACAATAAAACTGATCTTACTCACTTTTTCATCAGATAGGTCGGGACAGCCTTCCAGTCTGGGAATCCTTCAGGAATTCGAATACTTGTAACAGTTGGGAGACGCATTGCCTGCAGAAGAATACGTTTTGCACTTTTCTATTTATTTGTTCTTTTTTTAAACAGGTATCTGAACCTATTTAAACAAACAAACCTCTTTCCCAATACTATTCAAATGTCTGGAAAATAAATTTCCTAAAATTTATCTGGAAAGGTAAAGATAACTGATGGTTTATCAGTCTATTATTCACTCTGTTGATCAGTAAGATTACGAAAAAAAATTAAATTATATGGAGAGGAAGAAATTGAATGATAGAGAGAGAAAGGTGTTACAAATGAGCAAAACTAGATTAATGGAGTTTCTCTGTTTCACCTGTTTTTCAGTGGTCAAACATCTGAGATACCCACCATATGGTAGTCTCTGTACAGCATATCTTTAGTGTTGAACATAGAGAAAACTTTACCTTGTCTTTCACAAACATCCTTAAACCCATCTCCTCAAGTCCAGCCCAAAGGTGTTCAATTGTGTTATGATGCCGCTTCCATGAATTCTCAAGTCCCTGAAGAAAAAATAAACCGTTAAGTTCCTGTTATCTACTTCTAAAAGCACAAATTATCTTCCAAATACAGGAAGCACTTCTGAGTTTTTAGAATTGTAGTTATGAGTTCATTGTGTAACTAAGTATTTATAAAATGTAAGAAATAGTATAGTAACCTAATTGGACACTTTTTTTTTCACTAAGTTTTATTAACCACGTCAAAAGAGACTCCAATTTGATGCTTTTTGGTCACATGATAGTCACATGATAACCAAGTAAACAGTTTTAGCTCTCCTAGAACATAACTGGTGAGTACTGACACATTAATTGTGTTCATTCTGCCGAAGGTTGGTGGTTTTTCTTCTTAGCTTCCTTTAATTGAAATGATCCTTTGACTGATTTTGTTTTAATTCACCAAAAGAACACAAGTCCATCATTCAGTTGTCACACACTCAATTTTTTTTATCGTGTACTTTGTTACATAATTGTTCTTCCGTCACCTTTAAGAAATCAGGGGAAGATGCATCGAAGAAACAAGCACAAAATTCTTTTACCTATTTGTGCTCAATATTGATGCAACAAAAATTTTTTGCAATCTGTTTGGAACTCCTACTTGTATTCCTCCCTGGGCAAGATTCTAAATTATTAACAATGGTACACCCAAGACCTTTCCTTATAACTAGGTACCTCTTCTGCTATCTGTGCCAGGCTTTCTCTTAAAGCATAAACTAGACTTACTGCTCCTGTGTGCTGGTATCTAGCAATTAATTGAAAATAAGAAGGTAATTAATCTTACTACAAAGATGCCTTTTTATGCTAGTGATCATGAATCAACAAAATATACAAGAAGTTCCTACCATGTTTACTAAAAACAAAAGCTGATCCCAAGAAATAAGGTCTACAGTACCTTCTTGGCCCTTCATCACATCCCCAGTAATTTCCCAGTTCTTTTATATCCAGGTAAAATGATGGCACTTTGAATTCCCGGCTGTTCACCTTAGCTCTAAAATGAACAAACAGCTAATTATTGAAAGGACAAAGTTAAATAGGCAAATCCCACAACTTTTTATTATTGTAAGCAAGGTTTGTCCCCTTTTTTCATAAAAATTTCAAGATGTTTTCCAGGACTTTTCCAGGACTCAAATTAATTTTTTGCAGAACTCCAAATTTCACCTCACACCCGCCCTTTCATTCCCAAGATTTCAAAATCAATTCTGGTCTACATACATTTATTACAACATTGATTCTGAAAACTTTATTGCTTCATTTAAGCAGATTTCCAGGACTTTCCTGGACTTGTAGTCTTTTCCCAGGACTTTTCAGTCCTGGAAAATGTCAAAATAAAATCCCAGGACATTCCAGGTTTTCCAGGACCCATTTGAACCCTGTGTAAGGTATTTTAAGCACCATTTACCATGAAAACAAAAGGCAAACTGATCACAAATTTTGTTCAGGAAGATTGTCTGGGGTGCATTAAGTCTTAAGTCTTTTTAGTTCCAAAAAATACCAGTAACTAAAATAAGACAGAAAGTAGCAAAACAAAACCAACAAACAAAAACAAACATTCAATAAAAAAAGCACCAAACTGAAGAGGAGAGAGCTTTATCTTTATAAAATAAGAGCCTTGAATGTTTACAAGAGGATGAAATCTTCAGATACTTTAGGGAGCACTAAGACTAGAAACCAGTCCTTACACCCAGGAGAAGGAATTTAAGTAACAATTAAATGACAGTAGACTTTATGTGAGCTTGCTACTAAAAAAAAAAAAACCATCTCTTCTGTCAGCAACTTTATCAAATGACAATCTTATGGGTTGCCTTCTGAAGCAAGTGGCAAATCAATCAGTTGAGCAAAAATTTTATTTGTCTAGGAAGAATTGTTTGTCCCCCAAGCTCAGTTAAAAAGGTAGCTCTACTAAAGCTTAAAATAATGACTTACATGGCTCTGGGACTAAATGTGATTGGTGAAATTCCTGGAGGTGCCCCAAGGCATTTTTGAGAGCCTGTATAAACACAGTCCAGATCCCAGTCATCAGTGAAGAAAGGTGTTCCACCAAGAGATGCTACAGTGTCCACAATTATCAAGCAGTTATACCTGAAATTAAGATACATTGTACATGTATCAATACTGAGCTAAGATGGTTCAAGCCATGCACAGTTGTACCTATTCTAAAATACAACGACCCAATTTCACAAGAAATCATCATGTGGATGACATTTGGGAAGAAGCCTCACAAACTCTACAGTTTCCTGCTCTTATTCCATACAATGTTGAGGTCTTACACACCTCTTTTAAACTCAGTTGTACAGATAATCTTTAGTTATTGTTCATTGATTGTAAAGACCCACATCTGATGAGTCTACTTGTTTTTAATAATTAGACTAAATTCATTCTAATCACGATAAGGCTGACAATAATGATCCTGGATAATTTCACTTCAATATTGTAAAACTCACAACTTTGCCTATTGCTGGAACAGTATAGATTCTTTAACTGGTAAACTTCACTTGGGTTTCCCCTGAAGAATGACTTGTGCAGCAGCCACCACAGGCTATCCTTGCTTTAATACTAAGCATGAAACAGCCAGGAGCAATTGGGGGTATTGCTACCCTATCAGTCCCTCCCTTCCCTCTCTCCTTCCCTCTCCCCCCACCCCCCATCTCTTAAAATGTTGACAGGCTTCCTTAAAAAAAAAATAATGCCGATACCATTAATTCACAGACCATGAGTGGCACTATAAGAGAAATTGGCATTTTTCAAGAAATTTTGAAGTATCTTAAGCAAGATAATTTGTAAGCTAAAGAGCCCAGGAAGGGCTGGAGCCTGAGTCTGTGACCCAAAGAACCCAGCCATGGCTGGAACTACAATCACTTGATTCAGAGTCCAGGGCAACTAACCATTCCTCTCCTGCACCTAAAGGAGTACATTTGGCTTTCAATGAATGAATACAATTATAATTATAATGATTTTTCCATTGTTTACCTGTGACATAAAGCTCCAATGCCATCTAATGGCTGGCATATTCCTGAAGAAGACTCACTGTGAACAAGAAACAACACTGAAGGCTTGTAGTCTTTGAGGCCCTGGAGAAAATTGATATAAAAAATTAATTTCTAATCAAGGAGTTAAAATTGCTCCCCAGAAATTACTGTTCATAAATCAAACAATAAATTTTCAAGGTAAAAACATCAATGCTTTAAGTCCCAAGAATTGATTCTTAAATCTCCTTTTTATTTGCTATACAGTTCTTGAAAGTCAGTTGAAAAAGAATGTGATAAGAAATCAAGAGCAATGCTTCTTACTGATAAGTTTTTATATTCCCAATACCTGTTTGTTAGGAAAAATAAGGATGTTCTAAGGAGAGGTTAAATATCAATCAGCATTAGGTCTTAGAGTCGGCTAACAGAGAAACTCGCCTGTTCAATTTCACCATATGTATGATATTCTCCAGGTGGCTTTTCAATAGCCTGTACATCACAGCCTTAAGAAAAACATGTAAAGGATGATATTGTTGTTAACATCCTTAAGCTCTTACTCTGATAATTATGATCTGATCTTCATTTGCTTCTACTGTTTTTTTCTTTCTTATCGACATATACAGTGAAAACTAAGATAACTTTACACTAGATTCCAAAACAATGCTTCTCGTGTGCCACAATCAAGAGAGCTGATTTAAATATATCACCATTTCAAATGACCATCTCACTGCAACCTCTAGCTGACAAGTTCGTCTTTTCCCACTCCGTGTATGTTGAATATGTATCGACATAGCAAGGAGAAGTTACATGTTTATCACGTGCTGGGGTCGTAAAAGGTTATCTGTTAAGTTACTATCACATCTCATGTAGTTATGAAACACATCACGCTATATATATATATATATATCAGCAGAGCTTCGGCCCAATAAATCAAAGGAATCACTGGAATCATAAAAGACTACGAGGAGACAAAATAATAATCGATTGACAATTGATATAAATCGATTTGTGGTCAAAATTGCTTTTTGTTACATTCGACACGTGTTACGATACCATTCGTGGCCATCATTACAAGAACACAAACCTTGTCTTTCAGCAATGTCGCGCGCTCTGTTACCCCACAATCCATTAACACACACTAGAATGCGTTCTCCTCGCTCGACAAGGTTCATGATTGCAGCCTCCATCGCCGCATGTCCTGATCCAGTAATCGCCAACGTGTAAGCGTTATTGGTTTGAAACACGTATTTCAAGCCAGCCTTTGTTTCATCCATGACCTTACAGAACTCTGGATGCAGATGTCCCAATAGCGGCATTGCATGGGCATTGTAAGTCCGTAATGATGGATTAGCGGGGCCAGGTCCAAAGAGATGAACACTCGGCAAATCTAGGGGTTCGAGTAATTGTTTTGGTACCGGAACTTTAGTCCGCCACTCCGCCATCTTATTCGCGGTTGATGAATATTCTTTTGTTTTTGCGTACAAATGAGGTAGACGAGTGGGAATGGGAACTCCTCTTCTACCCATTCTCCCTGCCTGAGAAGATGCTTGCAAATTCAGTTTCCATAACAATGAACGTGTATGAGCCATAATCTAATCAATGTTCCCTTTGTTTTCAGTACGAACTTACGTTAGGCACGCACAGAACACTATCACAAAATGGGGTCACTTCAGGAGGTCAAGTTGATGCTTTAAAGTAGATTAGTTATCACAAAACGTGGTATCACATGTAGTCACTTTTCTTGCATACTGCTGTTCACGTGATATTCATGTACCATAGAGCTGTCCAATTAAAGGAGCCAAAGAGCTGGGCCATTCATAATGCACGCTCAAGTAGAATCGATATGCTTAAAAGAAATCAATTCTATATTGGCTGTTGCTGTTATCATGTTATATAAAACAAAAAACAACAACAACAACCAAACAAAGAAGTATTGTATCTGAAGAGAAAAGCCGGGGGCTTACTTTTGCAGCCTATTTCCTAACAGATAGCAAGGTCAACAAATAATAAAAATTACTCTCGCTGGTTTTCCTGTTTAAGAGTCGAACGTTTTGTTCATCGCTTGTTACACCAAGTTGCTGCAGATGCGGTGAATTGCTAAAACGAAAACTAATCTACTACTTAGCCAGTTGTTAGTAACGGTACTGAATTTACCCGTGATAGATCGAATTTAAGTAAAATAAAAAAATCTCACAAGAACAAGTTAACTGTACTTCGGTCCATTTCCTTTCCCTACCGCCTCCCCGTTAGCTGAGTTGATAGAGCGCTGGACTGATGTGCGGGAGGTCGAGGGTTCGAGCCCCGGCCGGACCAACACTCAAGGTCTTAAAATAATTGAGAAGAATATGCTGCCTTTCTATAACATCAAGAAATGGTTTAGATATTCTAGTCTTCTCGGATAGGGACGAATAAATGGAGGTCCCGTCTCCTGCAGGGTTAGGGGTAGGAGACGTTAATTTCCCACGCACGAGATTACTGTGTGATGGATGTCCTCCCCTGGGGTGGGATGGGTGGGTTGTTGTCTTGCGTTTCATACATGAGCCTCTGGCTCGGGCAATATGGGTAACCATGCCCCACGTAAAGACATTAAACTTTGATTACTATTACTATTACTATTCTAAATTGCGCTATAAGCGATCATTCGCTTGTATTTATTATTAGACGAGTGAAAATGCCCAGGGCTGGTGCAAAAAACATTGTTTGCTGGAATTTTAAGAATTATTCAAGCGAAGAGTTTTGTAGTGATTTGCAATCCGCCTCTTGGGACAATGTAGAAACATCTTTAACAGTCGAGGAGGCATGGTAGTCTTTTAAAACTGCGCTCAACGCAACAATAGAAAAACAAGCCCCTCTGGCAACGAAACGAGTGCGTGCCAACACACTACCATGGCTCTCGGGGGAAATAAGGAAAACAATGATGGAGCAAGATTTCCACC